GCAGGCATGTTCATTCATTCATTATTCATTCATTTATCTAACTCTATCTGGGGGGTCAACTATATATGAAGTGCAAGAATAGTAATAGTAAGACTCATTCTCTGCTTCCAAGAGGCACACAGTCTCACATGGGGAGATAGAGCCACCACTAACAATTACACTCCCTGGAATAACAGCTGCAGTAGAGAATGCAGAGACTCCCACAGAAGTACAAGGCAGATGACAGGGGAAGGGCATTTCAGGCAGGAAAAGAGAAAGAAGAGAGTCAGGTCTCTGAGAAGGACATATCAGAGAGAGGAAACAGCCTCTGCAAAGGAGGCAGACATGTTCAAGGTCAGGGTAGTGACTGAGAGATGCATGAAGATGTGGCAGTGGATAAAGGTGTGAAAGGTGGACAGGGGTCCACTCATGCAGGGGATGAATGTCATGCTGAGGAGATCAGACTCTGATTGCGACTATTTTCAATTTAAATCCTTATCGTTATAACCCAACAAGATAGAGACATTTTAAAATAAAACAGTTAAAATGAGTGCCAATTTTAAGGTTCAGTTGTCTTGAATATTAAACCTGAAATGATTAGCTATCTGCTTCTTTGGACTAAAAGCTACATGAAGGCAGGAATCATTTCCTCACCAAAGCACGTACTCAAATTCATCCAATAGAGGACCCACTAATGACAACTGATGAACTCATTTGATTCCAACACTTATTATGAAGTAGTTCATTTCCTGCAGTGCTTGACTAGATACTGCATCAAAAATGCTACATAGATGTTTCATCTGATCTCTACAAGCTTGTACTCTAAGACGTAACAGTTGTTATTATTCTTAATTTTCAGAATTAAAATGTCATTGCTCTGTGTGACAGATTGAGAAACAAATGAATCATAAAAAGACCATAAAAGCTAATAACTACAGACCGTAAGTATACTAAAATAAATCAATGTAAAATTATAAAGGAACAGAATTTTCAGTTGTTTATTATGATTTATTTTATTGAGTTGAGAAATCTATTAACCTTTTGACATGAGAAGATGGAATTCACTAAATGAGTTAGAGAAGCTCTACTTCCATTGTCATCACCCTCTTTCAAAATAGTGCCAACATTTTCATAAGTTATGGAAATGCAGTGGGAAAACACTATCTACTGTTAATTGACACGTGGACATCTGACACTGCTCATGAGGACTGGATGTATGTGGCACTTAAGCTGATGCATGGAGCATTCACACTGAACTTCTGTGATCTGTGTGCTGGCAGATCAGTCTATTTTCCCTTATTGGCATGATGCCATCTCTGTTTTGAATTAGACACGCTAGTGTTGGCTGCTGAGCCTACCATATTGGTCTGTCCACCAGCCATGCTTTGCAGGGATCAATTGCTATGAGTCCGATTCTTCAAAGTACTTTTCCTTTCCATGGTCCAACTTTAGGAGCTGTTCTATCTCAACAGATATTTGGAAAGAGGCCGCTGATCCTTGGTTAGCACCACAGCGCCCAACCCAGCTTCTTAAATTGGGGAACACATATTCTCACTTGAATATATGACTGTGAGTTCAGACATTATATGAAGAAGCCATGACATAAAAGGGGACATCTTGCCGCTATTTTTTACTCAATGGCTAATAAGTTTGTAAAGATATAGGAAAAAACAAACTCAGTTTCTCCTACTATGCTCTCACAACACAAAACACTTCTGGGGACCTCTGGTCACCTAAATGTGTGGGGTCTTCTCTCCACCAAGTAATCCTTCAGCAGTGGATTCTTCAGCAGACATCAGCTGGGTGTTCTCCTACTTAATTCTCCCAATGTTAACTCTGACACCGTCTACCTGGAAACAGCATCAGATACCACAGATTGAGAGCTTAGTTCCACAAGACCACCCTCCACTTCAGATACCAGCACAAGTACAGCTGGCCCTCCATGTCCACAGGTTCCATATCTGTGAATTCAACCAACAACAGACCAAAATATTTGGGGGAAAAAACGATAAAAAAAAATATCAGGAGGGTACTGAGTACCTATGGCTTTTGCAACATCATAAAATCAAAAATCTTAAGTTAAACCATCATAAATCAGGGACTGTCTATAATTTGCTAGAATAGCTCACAGAACTCAAGTAAACACAATTACTGGTTTACTGAAAAGGATATTACCAAGGTTACTGATGAACACAAGATAGAAAAGATGCACAGGGCAAGGTATGTGGGAAGGGGCTTGAAGCTTCCATTCCCTCTCTGGGTTCACCACCCCAACCTTCAAGTGTTTAGCTCAGTCCTTTTCGGTTTTTATGGGAGGCTTCATTACATAGGCATGACTGCTTACATCACTGGCCACTGGTGATCACTGTTAATCTTCAGCAGCGCTTTTCTCCTGCCAATTTGGTGGGTAGGCCTGAAAATTCCAACGCTCTAATCACCTGGTTGGTTCCCTGTGCAACCAGTCCCCACTGGATGATATCCAAGAGGCCTCAGCCAAAGGTCAGCTTATTAGGATGCAAAAATACAATTATCATTTTGAAGATCCCAAGGACTTTAGGCATGGTATGTCTATTTCATAATAAGTATCACAAAGTTACAATGGTTTTATACTGAAATAATGTGTGGAATATATTATGAAATACAATGGGTAAAAATTTTGCATCAAATTTTAAGACAACACATAGTACTCCAAGGAAATTGTATGTTGGCAGAAATTGGTTTTGACCATGTACCCAGAGACTTGGGGTAACACATTAGTCCTGTGCCTTGGGGGCATTTTGATGGAAAACTTTGAGAAGCAGTTAATATGTGGAAAGGGCAGAGGCTTTAGAACCAGACACAGGTGAGTTTGAATCCCCGTTCCTCCACATTTTTTGAGAGTTTGACTTTGACCAAGACAAGTCTGACCTCAGGCCTCAGTGTCCTCATCAAACAGAAACGTTATTTAATATGAAGATTTATAAAATATGTAGCACAGGCATAGATGGAGCCAGGTGAGATTTTTAAACCATGTAAGATCAAGTCACACTCCCACTTAAAACCTTCCAACAGCTTCCTTTTGCCCTCTGAATAATGCCCTACATGGCAGTATCATGGGTTCCAAACATTTTAGTACACAGACCCTCTTTGGCAGTCTGGTGAAGAAGGCTGTGGGGTCCTTCTCAAAATATTGTTTTAAAATTCATGAAATAAACTTCATGTGATTACTAAGGAAACTACTTATATTGAAATATACTTAGACTATTAATAAAATCCACACATGCTACAGGAATATATGTACTTCTCTATTACCACATCAAATAACATCATATAGTAACAGGATTCTATAACTACAGTAAGTTTGTAGCAATGACGCACAAATAACATTTCTGGATATCTGCAACAAATGTAATTGGATACAAAAGTATCTGTGATTTTTAATTGTGAAAGTCACAGCTACTGCTGTTCTACTGTGGGTCTTTTTTTCCTTTGCCTACATTCATGACTAGAGGAAATGGTAAATTTCATTTAGATGTTAGTGAGGATGTTCTCATCTTTGTTCACAGACCCATGGATTCTAACCACGGATCCCTTGGAAATCCATGAACCTGGATAGGGAGCCAGCATTCTAAGTGGTATTCTCTGACTTCATCTCCCATTATCAATCACCTTTGCCTACAATACTTGAACCACACTGAACACTTGCTCGTCAAACACATTCAACTTAGTCCACCTTAAGCATCTGCTTTGCTTTTCTCTCTGTCTGGAATTCTCTTTCCTCAGGTTTTTGTGTGGTTATTTCTTTCCCCATCTTTATCTCAATCCAATGTCACCACCTCCAAAGGGCTTCCCTGACCACCCCATATAGAGCAGCCACCTACCCTTGCCTCCCCCTTCATCACACCACCCTGCTGTTTTCTCTATAAAACAATTGTGTTCATTTATGTATTCTTGTGTTTATTCTCTGCTTCCTTGCACCCAAATGTGAGCTCCATGGGAGCAGGAACTTCATCTACATGTTCAGCGCCATACCCCAGGTATCTAGAGCAGTGTTTGGGTCTATTACACCTTTGCTAAGTGAAAGAAAAAGTAGTAAGGGCTCCACAGATGTATCCTCTCATCCTTCACTCTGTATTTTTGGTATGGTAAGGATATAAAGAGATGAAAGACAAACTCCTGCCCTCACATGGTTTACAGTCCAGAGAAGGCTGTGGGGTGACGCTGTGGAAGGTACACCAGCATTGTGCTGGCTTGGGCTCCCACCCAGGCTCTCCCACTTGCCTGTACAACTGTGAGCAAATCAGTGCTAGGGCCTCAGTTCCTATGGGGTCAGATAAATGGGTTGGACAAATTTATCTTCATGGTGTATGGTTTATGATCCTTAAGAGCTAACAGTACAAGGCAGCACATGTGGCAAGTGAGGGATTCTGACCCTCAGTGGAGGACGCAGCACAGACTTAGAAAGAGCTCTGAAGTGGAATCAGTCTCCAACAAATCATGAGGAGTTAGAGGATTTTCAGAGTCATGAACTCTCAGGGTTGAAAGCAACTTCAAAGGCTGCCCAGCATGATCACTAGGTGATACACTGGATGTCTCTCTCTGAGTCCATTTCTGAAGAGGTAATATAATACTGTTGCTCTTAGATGCAACCCAGCGTGGGGGTGAAGAGTATGAACTGTGGAATGGCACGCTGCCTGGGTTCAAATCTCAGCTCTGTTGTTTATCAGCTATGTGAACTTAGCCAAATTACTTAACTTCTCTGTTTCTCAACTTCCACCTCTGTAAAACAGAAATAATACCAGTATCTTCTTTATGGGGTTATGGTCAAGAGTAAGTGAAAAAAATGAGTGTAATATACTTAACATGCTTTCTGTAAACATTACTTATGATTTTTTCTGCTAAACAGTTTGCTGGTGTGGCAAACTTATTATGTATCCCCCGAAACCATTTTCCCTTTCTCCATTGTAATTGAGTTTTTACCGGCTAGGGACTGCATTACTCAGTTTGGAGTTTCTGTGAGCCAACATATAACTTGATCTTACCTTTTCCTTGACATTCACATGAGTATTGAGTTCAGCCATCTTGCTTTTAGTGGAATCAGCCCTATAAAGAAGGAAAGAAGATTAAGTTCTAAAATTGATTTCTCAATGTGTTATTTTTATGCTCTCTTCCAACACAGTGAACAACTTTATTCAGTCATAATCATAAATATCATTTTAGAATGTAAAAATACTTTCAAGCTAAACATTTGACTTAGATATGTTCTAAAAGCATGTTATAATAACTCTAGAAGACAATGTAAAATCTTTTATTCATACTGTATTGACATGAAAAATGACAAAGACAGATGGGAATTTATCTAAACTGTGTTTCTTCCTATTATGTAAAAGAAAGGTCGTCAAAATTAGTGAGAGAAGGGAAATTGTACCTATTTTAACTAAGTATTATCATCACAATCCTCACTGTCTCAAAGCTTTTATCAGCTCCTAGGTAATCTAACAAACATTTATTGAATATAGCCCTCCTATATGTACATAACAATACCAAGCACTATAGGAAAAACAAGAGGAAACTATTCTAGGTTTAAACGTAAGTACCCACCCCCAACTTTTTCCTCTTTTTTTTTTTTTTAAACTTTTCTCTCTATCTGGAATGCTCTAATTTCAGATTTTTTCAGGGTTGTTTCTTTCCTGTAGTCTTTTTTGTTGAGCCTGTCTCAAAACCTTTTTTTTTTTAAAAATTTGTCTCAAAACAAACCTCAAGGAAAACCTGCCTGTTGCCCAGGCTGGAGTGTGGTAGCGTCATCAGAGTTCACTGCAGCCTCCACCTCCTCAACTCAAGCAATCCTGCCACCTCAGCCTCTCAAGTAGGTGGAACTGCAAGTATGCACCACCATACTCAGCTAATTTTTGTGTTTTTTTTGTAAAGACAAGGGTCTCACTTTGTTGCCCAGGCTAGTCTCAAACTTCTGGGCTCAAATGTTCCTCCCAGTTTGGCCTCCCAAAACACTGGGATCATAGGTGAGAGCCACTGCCCCTGTCCTCTGCAGTCTATCTTAGCTCAAGTGTCACCTCCTGCAAGAGGGCTTCCCTGAACACCATATCTAAAGTTGCCACCTCTCCTGCCTTACTCTCCAACAGAATACAACAGTTTTAAATTTGTTTTTTCACTTACCAACATATCATGAGCAACATTCCAGATCAATACATAAGTACCTTCACCGTAATTTTTATTGTCCGTAAGTTCATAATCTCCAATTGCAAATGGACCCTTAAAACTGCCCATAATCCTTCTGTTTCTTTAAAAGCTTTAGGTTGGAGCAGTGTGAAGAAGAGGAGGCGAGAACGACCCCCGGACCGACCGAAGCCCACGCGCCGCTGCATCCCGCGCCCAGCGCCTACGTCCCGCCGCCGTCACCACCATGCCCAAGAGAAAGGTTGAAGGGGATGCTAAAGGAGATAAAGCCAAGGTGAAGGACGAACCACAGAGAAGATCCGCGAGGTTGTCCGCTAAACCTGCTCCTCCAAAGCCAGAGCCCAAGCCGAAAAAGGCCCCTGCAAAGAAGGGAGAGAAGGTACCCAAAGGGAAAAAGGGAAAAGCTGATGCTGGCAAGGAAGGGAATAACCCTGCAGAAAACGGAGATGCCAAAACAGACCAGGCACAGAAAGCCGAAGGTGCTGGAGATGCCAAGTGAAGTGTGTGCATTTTTGATAACTGTGTACTTCTGGTGACTGTACAGTTTGAAATACTATTTTTTTATCAAGTTTTATAAAAATGCAGAATTTTGTTTTACCTTTTTTTTTTTTTTTTTTTTTTTAAGCTATGTTGTTAGCACAGAGAACACTTCATTGTTGTTTTGGGAGAAGGGGCATATGTCACTAACAGAATGTCTCCAAAGCTGGATTGATGTGGGGAAACGACTTTCCCTTCTAGTTTTGAGAGACGTCCTCTTGGCTCCCAGGAGGAGGGATTCCCTGACGTTGACACACATGGCCACCTTGGCACACAAAAGCCTTGTGGTATGGAAAAACAAATTCGCTTTTATGTCCTCTTCTCCCTTTCCGTCTTTCAGCATAGACTTAACTCCCTTAAGTCCAGGCATCTGTTGGGACCTGACCCCCAGTCATTGGTTACCAGTGTGTCAGGCAATCTGGTCTTGCCAGTGATGCCATTGAGATGGCACCTGTCAAAAGAGCAGTGATTCCATTTCTAGATTGTGGATCTTCAGATAAATTCTGCCATTTTCATTTCACTTCCTGAAAGTCAGGGTCGGCTCGTGAAAAGTTGTTAAACAACATGCTAAATGTGAAATGTCAACCCTCACTCTAAACTTTCCCTGTTCAGAGCATCAGATGAAGACTTCATTGGGTTTTATAGTGGCTTTCTGATTTTTGGTAGTCCATCAAAGAAGGGAGTTTGAAAGTTATTGAATACTGTTAATGATTGTCTGCCCATGTCCTGCCTGAAATACCATGATTGTTTATGGAAAGTATCTTTAATAAAGCTGGATACAGTTTGGCTTGGGGAAAAAAAAAAAAAAAAGCTTTAGGTTTTCTGTCTTTGGTGCCCAACCTCTTTTGTGAAGTGGCCCCCTCTGAGATCTGTATTCTGAAAATCAAGCTGTTGTATTTTCTTTTCCCTTATCTGATCAAAATCTTTCACCATTATAATGGAACACAGATCTTAAGTCTTTAATAGATTCAATCTTTTTGAAATAGAGAATAAATGACTTAAATGCACTAACACATTGGTTCAGAAATTAGCAGCCAGTCAGGCCACGATATCAACATATACCACCTGTTTGCATGTCAAGTGCTTTTTGTCAATAAATAACCAGTGAAACACTTTCTTATATTCTTGTCTTTCTTTTATTATAAGTGTCCTCACCTCCAGAGTAGATAGATGCTATGGACTTGCAAAGAATCTCTGATTCCTCCCCATTATTTTCTTTTACACCTACAGCTTAAATAAAGCATAAATTCAGATCCATTATCTTTCGCTGATTCTAGGATGAAAGTTTGGTAATACGCAATGTTAACTCTATTACTATTCAAATTATTCTCAACTAGGAATCCACAGAGACAAATTATCAAATATTAGGAACAGTAAGATTTTTATAAGTTTCCAAATAATACTGCCACTGGCACATGCATTTGGACTTGCTAGCAGGAGAGACTCTGCATACTTGCTTCCAGTAAAGCAGCACTTTCCCAAATGCTCTGCAAAAGTGCCGAATCTATTGAAAACACTCTATAAATGGTAAGTTCTATATCCCCTTACTTGGTATACAGGATAATCGGCTGGTGCAAAAGTAATTGTGATTTTTGCCATTGAAAGTAAAGGCTAAGTCTTTAAAATACTTTTGCACCAACCTAATAGCTGGCAAGTAACACTTGAATTTTATTTTCACTTATTCCTGCTCCTGTAATTTACTCACTTGTAAAGGACAGCATTCTTTTCTGATTATTTCTCATAGTGAACATGAATGATGTGTGAAGTACAAAAACAAATAACTAAGTGTTTTTGTTTACAAGCCATGGGTGGAAAGTAAAGCCTTTGGTCAGTCATTACAAGCTTGCAAGATAGTCTATAATCATTATACTGGAAGACGTCTGGATGGCTGCTTTTCTTATTCAAATGAAAGTTTTGGCATTATGTAAACATACACTGTATGTAAATTTCACAGTGTGTGACAGTATGAATATATGCATGAGAGGGAGGTAGAGGTGGAGGAAAGGGAGAGAGGTATACCTAAGAACTCTGAAGAACTAAATGGTGACAGCTAAATTCGGTGCCATTAAAGATGAACCGGTGAGCCACAGTGCCTTTCATTAGACCAGGTCAGCTGACTCTTCTGGACACATCTGATTTTGCCATTACAGATATGAGAAATCTAATAGAAAACCTTTTTTTTTTTTGCATTTGGGCTTTGATGTCTATGATTTGGATGTGCAGCATTTTCTAAAGCTGAAATGTTATAATCCGCAGAGGAATCAGGGAGGAATTCCATTGAGGATAGAAAATTTATGAGATCTGAAGACATGGTGACAATGGATGGTTAGCTATATTTATAACACACACACACACACACACACCCCTCCTTGGCAATTCCTTTTCTCTTTGACCTCAAAGTCTAACTCAAGAAGACTCTTTGGGACCGATGCTAGTATGATTAATTACAATTTTATTCAAATCATAATTTTAGTTTTTTTGTGGAAGGAAAATACTGGCTGTGGGGGTAAAATAGGTCTATTTTAAGTTTCTCAGATGGGAAGATAAGATAAAAATAATTATAGGGACCCATTCCTTGCCCATTTACTCTCAATTATTTTTCCCATGTGGAAGCCTGCCTCCACAGGCTCTACCTTCTGGGTGGGTTCTAATACCCTCTCCACATCACAGCTTTCTGCCAGCTGGTGCATAACAGAGACAATGCGAAACTAGTTAAAGTGTTTTAATCTAACAGACCATGAATTTAGTTTGCCTTAAAGAATTATAAGTTTAAGTGACTGGATAGTCAAGTTGGGTTCTACAGCTAAGAACAAACACTAGGGAAACACTGGGACAGGCGAGGTTATTTTCAGTGCATCCTGAAGGTTCTCATTGAGTGTCTGCACCTTCCATTTGGCACTAGTCCCTCCAGAATGTCCAGAAGCACACCTTGTACCTGTATAACATCATGTGCTCATTACCTTTCCTGAGCTGACCCTCCCTGCTACGAAAATGAAACTGCACTGGGTCCCTATTTTGAGATTCTCTTTTCTGCTATGAACTATATCTGCCCAGTCAGCTAAATTTCATCTGAATCTTAATTGTTTAAAGTAGTCAAGGAACTTTTCAATATATTTTCACCTCATTTCACATGACAGATCCAGGGTTTAGCAATGTGAAGCCCCAGCCCCACAAGCTACAGACATCTAGGTTGGCCCAAGAAGCCTCTAATGCTGTGATTTTTAGGACCGACAGTGAGTAACAGATGTTTGGGGAGAACAGACCTTCCCTAACATCTTGGTCATCTGCTTGGTAGTGTATCACTGCAAAACATGACTGAATACTCATACTTTAACATATATCGACCACAAGAGCTTTTAAATCTACAGGAA